GACGGACGGACGGACAGACAGTCACCGCTCGATCGATTTCTCTTTTCATTCTGATCATTTAGGTGTACATTTGTCTATATCTATCTCGATTCGTTTTGCCTGTTACAAACAACCGTTATGTGAACAAAGTTATAATACCCTTGTGCACAAGTGCGCTCGGGTATAATTAAACAGGTTTTACCAGCTTGAAACTCACTTCATTGTACTACAATTTAATTTTTTCTAAAGATTCTGATTAAAAGGTTTGATATTATGGTAAAACTAAGCAGAATTTGTATAATTTTTTGTACGAAGTTTGACATATTAAAATATATGAGTTTGTTGTATAACCAACTAGGCTTTAATAAAAAAATAATAAACATTAAAATATTATTATGACTTCTTTGTATAACCAACTAGGCTTTAATAAAAAAATAATAAACATTAAATTAAGAAACGTAAAATAGTCAAAACTGGTCAAAACATAGCACTCCTATTATATGGTTGACCAGAGTAGTTGATATACAAAACAAAAAAAAAAACGGATGCAAGGACACATATCGATATTTTTGTTGAGTTTAGTTATCTGTTATACTGAACAAATTCTTATCAAGCTTATTAATTGTATGATAAAATTACCAAAAACATAAACTTTGATTTAATACTCTTTATTGTTAAACGAGCTATATCTTGGATGAAATGTAGAAAAGCCCCATGGTGCAATTATTACAGGTATTGTCTTTCCAGAGAGTGCCTATTCCGATCTGCCTTATTTACAAAACATCATTATTACCGAAACTAAAAGGTTTACGGTAAAGGAAAAATTTATATTTTCGAACGCCATGTATATACACTAGGCGACAAATGAAAGTGTACGCTTTGTTTTAATATAATATTAACGGTTCAAGAAACACTTTGCATTAATTATTTATGAAAATATAGGTCATTCTGTAATAGGTGCGTTCGTTTAAAATCTCCAGCAGAAACCAACCAACTGCCAAATTCCGGCGAAATGTCATCTGTTCTCTCACAAGAGAGAAATATCCAAAATAGTACGCGAACAGAAAATTTGCAGAAACTTGCAAGTTAGACGAACAGCTGATATAATTTTTGTTTACATTCAAAAGTGTAAAATTTAAAACGTACGAAAAGCCATCCCAAAGTGTTATACTGACACAGTTTATTGATTAAACAAATAACTACTTATTTCTTACAAGTTTAATTAGTCGCATTTTGTAATTTTTAACTTCCAAACCATCAAATTCAATTTTTAGTCTGTTCCTTTGAACTTCGGACTAAAACCTGTGGAACTGTCAAACTACAATTTTACGCTCTCAAATGAGAGTAAAAGGAGAACAGATGCAGAAGTGCATAGGAACGCAAAAAGCACTTTCCTGTAAAAACGTCAGACGGTTTGATTACATGTCATTGGCACTACACTGATTTGGCTGAAATATCACTAAAAATTATTAAAATCTATACATATTCAAATATTTCGTTGTTTACTTCCATTTTTTAACAAATATAAGGTTCTTTGCTTTCACCGCTTTCTGTTTTTGTTTGCACATGTAAATCAGCTGATCGTTTGACACTTTTCATGAACTTACAGGAAAAAAACTCCGGACTAAATCCTGTAACTTCTGACTAGGAACAGTTGCTCAGTTACTCTCTCAAATGTGTTCCCACTTACAGGTTTTATGTCAATAGGAACGACTTCCTGTAAGTTCTGACTAAAACCTGTAAACCGGACTGCTATTGGAACAAACTAACTATTTGTGATTTGCGTAAATGCCAACCAGCTGTTTTTGATCAGCTGTTTTCCTGTTGGCAAATTGCTGTTGGCAAAAATTTTTCCAGCAGAAACCAGCAGCTTCCCCTCAAAATGAAATGTCACTTTGCTCTCTCAATTTCCCCTACTTTGCAAGTTTTTTGCGTACGCGAACGCAAAAACTTGTAAGTTTTGGTTAAACATGAACAATTAACAGCTACGCGAACGAACCTAATATAAACCATATACACTGAAGAGCAAAACTGGAACAATAGAACGGAAAGTTAAGTTTGAGGTAATGTACTTCTTCAGTTTATTTAATTTATGGTAATTCAAACTTGCGTTTCGCCTTACCGATGTTTAACTAAACGCTTGACCATAAACATTTTAAGATTCGCATATGGAAACTCAGAAAAAAATGACCAAACAAAAATGAACTGGATTGATCCAGTTTTGCACCCTCTTAGTATTTGCTGAATTTTATAATTCAAAGAGGAGTTCTGGCTCATTTCCTGCAATTTTGTAATCAAGGCGCGTGGAATTTTCGCTGTGAGTGCATTAAGTGCACATACCAAGCAAAAATAATTTAAAGTTTTTGTAAAACGGTCAAAAAGGCCACGCTGTAAAGAAAGAAATCATATCGGCCAAATTTCCGTTTTATGGTTATTTAAACAAGCGATAAAAGGGCGGACCTCAGTCTGCAAGATCGAGAGACCACAATAAATTTGCCAGGCTAGGCATATTGGAGGGTCTCTAAATGCCAATAAACTTTGGTTCCAAATCAAAAATTACTGCTTTATCACCACAAAGTAAGTGACTGGACATTATGTAAGACATGGGAACAAGTTATTGCACCACAAAGATAAAGAGGAGAAAGCCTGCTTTGACATCCAGAAAAATTTTTGGTCAGAAACGCATTTTTACTAAGAAAAAACATTGGATTGGTATTATTTTGAAGCGGGAATTTACAAGTTCGTCATAAACGACCACATTATTCCATCAAAATTTACTATTAATTAGGGCACGGCCCTAAATTTGTTAACTCGGAGGATAAAATTAAACGTTTTAAGTCGGAATATTGGTTCAAGTGCTGTGCACCTGCATCAGGGATACGCCTAACGTCCCAAAATATTTAAACTATTAGGTTTGTATGTGTACATTTAATGATGTAGGGCCGCGTTACGCCTTAGGGAGTAAGAACTGTGGTAAAATCGATGGAAAAAGAAAAGTGACAACAAATGAGCATTTTCAAAGAATTTGGCAATTTCTGAGGATATTTTTCGCAGCCTTTTATCAATTTTAACTGGACAATGGTCAGAAATATCCTCCGAAACTGGGGCCAAATAGGTATAAATCC